TATCAGTAGGGAAACTCAGATGAGCATATGGCATCTCACCCGTTACAGTGTAGTTGAACGTTTTATGCCAAGACAGGTTTCAGCTCAGTTCACTAAATGCTGGGAAAGCGTATGAGTATATTTACCAACAACTCACAAATAAATACAAAGATAACTACTATTAATATTTATAACTCTCTCTATAAAGACACCAAACTTGAAAAAAAAAAAAGTCATGGATATTCAATTTATCTTCCACTACAAACAATGCCAAACTACTACTGAATGTAAATTTGTTAAAATTAGAGCAATTCTTTTTTGTCATTGGATTAGAGATGGGTATACCATCACCAGGTTATGTTTATTAAACTTAAATCTGCAGTTAAAACAAACTCGTAAGCAATTGCTGACCTGAGGACTGCAGAAGTGTTGTTTTTTGAAATTAGCATCTGGCAGTCAAAAGACTACTTCCAGACCTGTACTGCAACATAAAAGACCTGCAATTTATGCACATATTATAGAATGTATGTCACACTAGTAAGTGCATTGTATGTGCCATTTGTTCTGCATTGTTATTACCCTATTAATCCACTTTGGCTTATGGAAATTACCAAAAGACCCTTAAAACAGAGAAATGTATGTAAAAGATAAAAGAATGTGCTGCAGTCTCACCAGGTAGACATTATCTTTGTCTTGGAAGGCATACAGAAGCTGTGGAATCCAGGGACTGCTGTTTAGAGACAAGATCCTCCGTTCCTCTTCATGAAAAACCACCTGGGAAGAATTAAAAAGGCATGTAATCAGTATATGTACCTGTTATGTAAGCAACACCAGTGTTTCAGAATCTGCTACCTTGAGTAGGGTCTAAAACACTGAACATACTACTAACACAATAACATGAGTAATTCATTGTGGTTTAAACGTAATCTGAAAATAAGAGACGTTGACGTACATATCACAACATTTTTATGATTACAATTTATGCTCTCCTTTTCTAGCTTCAATTTTGTGGTCATTTTGCAAGTGAGATGTCATTTAAGTTAAGCAAAGTAGTCACAGGTGGCACGAATAAAATGTTTCTTGTTCATTCAAACTGTTCACATGAAATCCCTTCCTGTCACAGCTCATGTACTATTCTGACTGAGATCTGTTCTATTAGTCATATGCCAGAGAGCACAGCTGTGAAATAACATATCCAAATTGGATTGTGTTGTTTTCAACCCTAGAGCACACTCCAGTGGTCCTTTTTAAGATTACAATTTTGGAGCACCAAGGGGATTAATGCAGAGTTACAATGCTTACATGAATCACTACAACATAAAAAATGCAACACTCTTGAAATACACTCTCAGTCCAACATATATACAGGTTAGGAAATAATTTTGGTGCAGGTTAGCTTCAAAATGAGGGCCTTAAACTTCTCATTCTCACTAAATGCCCGTGTTATGCTCATATGAAACATGTCTAAAGTCATTAATGAAACTTTATAATCCCATAACTGTAGCTTGATACTGGATGAAATCAGAAATGCTCAGACAAAATACACCGTGCTCATAGCAGACATTTTGATTTGTCATAGAAGGAAAAGCGCAGGTGTTACTAATAACATTAACAATGGCTGTGTGTCCCAGTAAGCCATGACAGTGTGCCAGTGAGCCAGCATGCACTAGAACCCTCAAAGTGGAGCTTAGTGGAACCCAGCCATCACCGATTTTAATATTTCCACCTGTGCATTTCCTGCTGTGACACATCAAATGCCTATTTTGTGGTAAAGTCAAATAATCAATTGAAAAAAAAGGGAAATCCACTATTCTATGTTACAATACAGCAATTGAATAAGTAGTACAAATCTTACATTTTCTTGCGTGCGTAAAACTGTCTTGCTCATGACTTTTAGTGCACAAACGTCTCCCGTAGACTTCTCTCGGACTACTTGGACTTCAGCAAAGCGGCCACGGCCCACCACCGCTTGAAGCTCAAAGTCATGAAGCCCAGGCTGTAGCGCCCGCAGCTCTGAGACCACTTCAGAAACTGTTCACAGACATACAGACAGGTTTTCAAAGCTTTGTTCCTTACAACTGAAGTTAAACAACTTTTAGGATGTGAACTTCAAAACATACCACCAATATAACACCTTATTCTATTAGAAGTACACAGTTTTATAGACACACTAATGCTAAAGGTGTTAAATAAAGCCCACCTGCCTGTTAATGAAAATAACATGGCATTTGTCTAATATTATGTTTATGGCATATAGTTGCTAGTTGTGTGATTCTAGTGACTTCATTTAAGGCTGATGCCAGTTTAGACTACAAAAAATGAACTAGAAACTGAATGAAAGTACCATAGTCTTCATAACTGTCAATTATTGTCAACAGGCTTGTCTTAACCCTCCTATCATCTTTGAGGTCAATTTGACCCCATTCAATGTTTAACATCTCTAAATAAGTCATTGACATACTTCTTCAGTTTTATTTAAAGGGCTATTTATCCATAAACTAGTGCAACAATTTTAATTATGATATTTTCTGGAGGTTTTGCTGGGGTCAATTTGAACCCAAGGATAAAAGATGTCAGTAAAACTTGAAGGTAGTAGGAGGGCTAAAAGCTAAACCAATTACATGAAATTACACCATCAGATTGTATTAAAATAGAGTGGGCTTAACAGGTTGTTGTTGTGTGTGTTTTTTTTTTTAAAGAGCTCTTTACACATGTGGAAAATGCATGCTTACATTTATTGACAAAGTTAGCCACATGACGTATCTTCATGAGCTCTGGGGAGGTGCACTCTTGGAAGAGCAGCAGCAGAGCCTCCAGAAACTCCTCCCGTCCTAGAGAGCCTCCTCCATGCTGCCCACACAGGCTGACTCGTCCCTGGGGACAACACACAAACAAAGGACAGTGAGGTATGCCACTGACTGTTCCTGCGACTGGTTTTAAAACTGTTTAGCGCGTGTGAGACAATATATATGAACAGGTAATAGCATGTAAACACCCAAGCTACACATTACCTGAAACACCTGGTTGAGTCGCGAGCTGCGGCTGGTGATGGGGTCAGTGGAGGACGACAGCATTTTCAGGCTGCCCTGACTCACGTATTTGAACTTCAACATGGTTTCTAAACGGGAGATGCTCTGGGAGGACAACACACGGCGAGTCAAAATAGAAATGCAGCTTATTAGCGGAGTACTGACAGCTACGGAACAAGCACCACAACTGTCAACAGTACGCGTCTTCAGCGTGCTAAGCTAACGGTGGCTAACGTTCGTTTTCTATCTTCGTTAACAAACATGAGCATCCAAACAAGTGTCCTCCATTGATATCCACAAAAGCAAAACGGTGTGATATGGGTTAACTCACCAGACTGCCATTCAGGTAGTTACAATAATACTTTTATTTTAAACGGAAACGCTAATGAACTGAACGGCACATTGTTTTCTTCTCGGTCTGCGTTGGTTCCGGTTAACTTTCAAATTTTTGCGCGTTCCCCGCCCACTTCACGAGCCAAATGAATGAAGACGGTCTCTGATTGGTCGATCCGGTTTTTATGGGCGGGACATGATGTAGTTTTAAACCAATCGCTGACGGTGGAGATCATCAAGGAACGCTATTGAAGTCCTCTTGCGTAAGAAGTGCATGTTTGCTGTGTATGGAAAACATAAACAGAACATTTTCTAAACACACTAATACGTTGTAATTAGAATTAGAAAGCAAAAACAGAGTTGTAAGTAGATTTCTCACGAGACAGAGGCAACTGATGCTGACCAAAAACTATAAACATCAGTTTCATCAGCAAGCATAAGCCACTGAAAACATGCACATCTTGAGATTTTCTCAATAAGGATTAACATTTAATTGAAAGAGGAGGACTATTCCAAAGTTTTGAAGCTGCCCCTGAAAAGACACCATCTCCTTTATCCACTAGGCTAACAGTGGACAGTAAAAAGGGCTTGTTCTGAGGATCTAAGAGGCCTGGAGGTAGAGTAAAGGCAGAGAAATTCTCAACTGTACCAATGTGCTAACCCATGCATGGCTCCATAAATAAATAAAAGAACCTTAAGATCAGTTCTGTTTCAACCAACAGGTAGTCAGGGCAGGAATGCTAAAATAAGGTGTACTACTTTCCTTTTTTGGTACCAGTTAGGAGTCTTGCAGCAGCATGCTGCACCAGCTGTAGATGAGACAGAAATGTCTGGCCAATACCCAGGTACAGTGACTTACAGTAATTTAGCCTGAAGGAGATTAGTACAGTGGTCACATTCTTTATGCACTATTTAGATAGTGGATGGATTACAGTTTGGTAATATTTTTCCTTTGAAAATAACACCACTTTAGTTCTGAATATTGGTCAAGTCCCAGAAAACACTTACTCTATAGTTTCTATTAATCAACCACTCTGTCTGTAACTCAGCCTTTTTCTCACAAATTTGTTTCTAAGCCCAAGCCAAGATAATCCTGATATATCAATATAGTTACACTTATTACCAACGACTGGCAACACTTTTAATCTGTATGTTTCTGTTCTAGTGTTCCGCACTAAAACACCAAGTCACATTCCTTGTATGTGAAAACTTACTTGGCAATAAAACCTTTCTGATTCTAAGATGTTTTTTTCCGTCATACAAATATATCATAAAACTTTTTCCCAAAGTCAGTGCCTCTTAAAACACCCTGGATTTCCACAATAGTTTTTCTACTTTTTTTCCACTTTAACTGATCTTTCTCCCTTTATTTGCTTGCTTAACAAATTTACAGACTATCATTATACTCTAATTACCACATGTTTCTTGTAGTGATTTGTACACAATAAATAACATTCAACAATTTGTGAATAACCAAAATCAGGGCCAAAACCTTTATTTCCAACAGAGATACATGTTTCATTATTGTCAGTTCTTGTTTTCCAAAATTGCAGGGTAAGATTGCCTAAAAACTAATAAGGAGCATGGAGCAGAGACTGGGGACGGGCCAGCTGCCTTCAGCGTTCCCCAGTGGCTGTAGGAGGTGCTAGAGGTGTGGCGTTAAATTTGGGGTTGAGCTTGGGATTTGGGGTTGGGAGCAGGGTTGGGATTGGGTTTGGGATTGGGTGGTGCAGGTGCAGGGGCAGGGGCTGGAGTCGGGGCTGGGGCGGGGGCGGGGGCTGGGGCAGGGGTCGGGGCAGGTGCAGGGGCAATATAGCACCCTCTCTTATGCCACTGCATGTCCCGCACACGTCGGACGGACTGGATCTGAGGTGCAGTGGCTCCCCAATCGTTCCAGTGCTTGAAGTCTCCATGCTCAAACACATACTGGCGCCCTCTGTAGCCTGGATACATGTATCCCACCCATCTTTAGAGGAGAGAGCAGGATATCACATTTCTAGGACAGTGAACAATATTACACATTAAATTCAGCTTTACAAGATTTAATTTTGATACGGTGGAGGTCATGCTAACATTTACTGTAACATCATGACCGTTTCATCTTACGTTCCACTGACAGCCTTAGCACTGGCCACACGGTCCTGGAAACCATGAGCCCACAGACTGGGGACATCATCATCAACAATCTCCATCTTTCTGCCCTCAAAGCCAGCATTCTCAAACAGGAACAGCTTGTGATCTGCGCTGTCCTAGAGAGTGAGAGAAAAAGCACGTTTCCATATGTTCAGCAGAAAGTTACATCTGCAGTTGGCACAGGCGTCTATGCAAAAATGTCAGTCAGTGTAACGGTACTGACCACTTTCAGAGGCCTGAAGGAGCTCAGATTGTAGTTACTCTGCCAGTTGGTCCAGGTGCTCCATCGAGGATATTCTCCTTTCTCAAGCACGTACTGCTCTCCTGCAAAACCTGGACGCTCAAACCCCACCCATCTAACGATACGGAGAAATTGCAATACATACATTCATGCCAAGCAAGAGTAACGACCAGAAAACAGGCTTTAGATGGACTGAGAATTGAACTGATGAAGGGCAACTGGGTCACTCACGGTCCCGACTCCACAATGACTGAACCAACTCTTTGTGCCTTCTCATACACATCTTTACATTCACCAGACCACTCCATCTTTTTGCCACGAAAGTTCTCGTACTCAAAAACTGCCAGCTGGAAGACAGAAACAGGTGGATAATACTGAATAATACTGTCCAAATCTCATGGTGTCGAGATCTTTTCAGTTCAACCAAAACCTTTTTTCCGTTAGTACAATGTGCAAAGTTAACAAAAAAGCTCATCTTATTAAATCTGGTACCTTGTATGTGGCTCCAGCCCCTCCTTGGCCCTTCTCTGCAGGCAGCTGGTCAGGGGTTCCCTGCTGTTCTGTCATTTTTATCTTCACAACGCACAGCAGCAACACGATTTAGTGTTATATCTATGACACGTATTTGTGAGTTCTATAACTTTTGTTAAGCTTAAACAACATTTAATTTAATCCAGAATAGGTTTTCAAAATGTATACATAAAGAAAATTAATTTCCCTACAACACTTGAAGCTTTACATAACTTTAGAAAACGTGGCCACAGTTTCGACTTTAAACAGCTTTTTTGTCAGAACTGCTTTGCTATCATTTTGTTGTTCACACATCTATCAGGAAGACATTTGCACGTGTAAGTTGTATATGCAAGAATAACACATTAATAGTTTACACACAAAATGCTACTTAAGAAGCAAACATTTGGATGCAGATAGCAGAGATAATAGGGAGAGAACAGAAGAGAAAAGGCCCGTCCTAGAGGAGGATGATCTGAATTCTGTTTACCTGGGTGGCTTGTGCTTCACTGCACCCCGTACAAGCCGAGCTCTCCGTCTTTCCTCTTTCTTTTCTTTCTCTTTCCTGTCTGTCTCAGTGTGAGGGTGTGTGCGGTTGTGGAGGCCTGGCGAGCGGTTGGTGGATGCCAGTGGGGGTATTTATGGTTTATTTCTGGCCACAGCAGCAAAAAGCCTGTTGATGCAGCAAGTCTGTCGCACCCATTGTGTCCATCACACTGCTTCTCAATAGGCTTGCCCTCTGTCCCTGGCACACTGGCAAACGCTGCCCAGCTCTGCCCATGCTGCCATCCTGACAATTATCCTATAGTGGGCACACGCACTGCCTGCCAGCCAAGAGAATGAACAGAGATCAGTCTCACTCAGCACTATTGGCCACACCCAGTTATCTTGCTCTCCACTCTCCAGTCTTCTACCTGTTTCTTTATCTTTCTGTTCGTCCACCATCCAAAAATCTGCGTCCAACTTTCTGCTCTCTCGTGTGCCTTTAAAAAAATAAAAAAATAAAAAATCACTAGAATAATTACATATAATTTCAAAAAAGTATGATCTGCGCAGAAAAGCTTTTACAAATGCAAACTATGCTGAAAATAATTCTTCATGCTCCACTATATCAAAAACAAGCACGCAACTTCATTTCATAGAAAAAGTTTTAATAAAATTCCCTCAATTTCCTCTTTACATACAGTATGTTGATCATAAATGATTATAGAATTGATGACATTCATTCTTACACATTAAAAAGGCACATAAATGAATCTGTAGCAGAATAATGCATTTTTCTAGAATTAAGAATGTACAAACCAAACATCCAGATTCTGTTTGTACACCACAAATATCTCTCCTCAGCTCATTGCTGATTTTCTGGCTTTTGGGTGTGTTAATAAAATCAGGTAGAACCTATTGACGTCCTGAGGGATCTTATTTTCAAGAGAAACTAGACAAAAAACTCCGAACTCTGTTACTACAGTTTACACTGGATTATTCTATTGCTTGGATGTACAGTATGGACGGTGATTTGTTATAATTTCTCTTAAAGTGCTTCAAGCTTTACTTGAGACGATTTGTGATTGGTTATAAGATGTAAAAGACATTTGTACAAAGTAAAAACTAACACACATTGTTATATTCAGTATTTATGTACATATGTGTATGCTTATCCATGTCTTTCTATGTTTGTGTGGACATGTGTTAGTTCAAAACAACCATGAGGATTTTCGCTGTCTGATGAGGGCTGTTTAAGTGGTTGAGACGTGATCTTAAGTTTACGGTTAGAATTAGATTTAGGTGGCTGTATAAGATGGAATGTATTATGTTAATGAGTGTCCTCACAAGCATAGAAAGGCGTGTGTGTGTGAATGTAGATTCCCTGCTGAAGGCCTCGTGTCATCAGTCCTTGTCAGCGTGTGACAGACTGAAACACTAAGACAGTCCATAGCTTTGCTCTAAAGTCCACTGGCGTTCCGCTGAGCCTCGATACAACAGTTGAAAAAACATGTACTTGGCATTAACACATCACAGTCTGGGCACACAGCCTTGGCACCATATTTCATTTACAAGCTGTAAAAGTTCTTGATTGCCTCTGTGTTCAGCAAAAGCCTGAATTCTCAGTAAAGGTCCAAAATAAGGCACTCGAAGCGCAGAATGCAGCAATCATGTCGAGGTGTTTGTCAGCAGCAGCAGCAGCAGCAGAAGTGGACTGATTCTGGCTGAGCAGCAGCAGCAGCGGCACAGTGTCTCCTAAAGGCAACAAAAGATGCAAAAGAGTTTTTTAATGTAAGTTTTAAACCACACCTCATTCTTGTCATATATTTAGCTTTTATAGCATAACATTTGCTGGATAGGTTTATAAGTACTCCGCACTACTGTGAGTGCATTCATTTTTAGCATGTGCTTAAAATTTCAAGAGCAAAAATACGGCTGTGAGCTGCACTTCCACGGGCGAGTAAAAGTGCATCAAGCAGAGTAAAGTGCATTCAGGTATGATTAAGATGTTTTTACCCACTGTGCAGTTTTGATGATGATAGGAGAAAATGTTGCAGGGATAATGGCCTGCTTCCTGTTTTTGTCTTTGCTGTCAGTGCAGTCACAGGCTGAAATTAAATAACCTGAATGTTCCTGACAGTGTTGCTGGAAAGTTTTTACCATTCACTTATGACTCATATGAAAATTTGTCATTATAGATAATGCCTCCACTTCTATAATATCCCAATAATCAACTGCAGAAGCCAAATGTCATAACTTTTATGCTTAACGCTCACCTATGGCTCATTTGGTTAAGTCTGTTAATGCTCTATGCATCACAAGCTGTTCAAGGCTTTAAAATATAAAATATTGGCACAAAATGAAAAAGCTAAAGATTTACAGTTCTGTTTAAAAAAAAGTTACATAAAAACAAATATGTCGTTTTCTTATTTTGCCTGGTGAATGTGTCAGTTTGAAAAGCATTGCATTTCATGTCTTCATCTACCTTCACCACAACAGTCGGTTTAACAATCTGGTAATTCCACCACAGGAGCGACTTAATATTCTCTGATTTAGGTGGATGAATTATGTGCATATATTGGCATCGTCAACCAGCCAAATTGAGTTGGAAAATATTGGCATATCAGATGCTGGCAAACATTAAACAGCTTGTATCCCTGCTAAAAATGTATCAAAATTCTGTTTAAAGCAGAAGTCATCCAAAAGATGCTTTTAAGCATCTAATGACCATATGGTTGCTTTTATATGAGAATGAATGTGTCCTGATTTTTTTTTTTTTTTTTGAGAATGAATGTGTCCTGATTTTTTTTTTTTTTTTTAAAGGACAAAAAAGAAAAAAAATGCATGAGAATCTTTTATGTGCTTCTATAATTCAGAATATGTGAGTGCAGTGATGTTGTTACACTGACTATCCAGTGTTAAAACAGTATAATAGAGAAAAGCCTACAACAATACGGGCTTGGCATCCTGTTGATGTTTATTAGTCCCAGGGTTGTAATAGAACTGTCCTTTATCTCGGCAACAACAAATAAAAAATCTGTCTAGCAAGAAGCTATGATTTTATGTTTCTAATAAAAAATTTAAAAATAATATGCGTCCCTCCTTTGAAAATAATATTAAATCACTCACCTGTGGGTGACTAAGAATCACCATGCTGACTCATACGCTTCTTAGACTTTAACTCTTTCAGCCAAGCGGGCGAGGACACAGCGCTAAGTGACACATATTTCAATAATGTTGGCATGGTTCTCATTATTTATACGGTTTACATAATATTTGCTGTCGTTCTCTGCTCTTACCCTCCGTCCTTGCCGCCTATGGGTGGCAGCACCCGCGCAGCCCCTGCGAGATGCGCAGCCGAGCGAGGAGAGCGCGAGAGCTGAGAGGGAGATGGTGCTGCTTCCTCATTTACAGTTTCTTTCTCCTCTCTTGCCTTTTCTTCATGTGGTAAACTTGCTCCTTCACTTGTTTTCTTTTTACGCCGGGCCTTGAATAGCGAGCATATACATTTTACTCGACACCCATTTGCATGATATTACACACAATGACGTTATGCAGGCTGAGCACTGAGAGAACTTACAAGCAGGGCTGCAGGGCTCAAACCAGGAAACACGGGGACTCTCTGGGAAGTGGGAGGAAGAGAGCTGACTGTCTTCGGTGTAGGCTGATCCTCCTCAGAATCAGACTCCCTTTGTTTCAAAGACGACTCCTTTGTGTCTAAAAACACAGAATTGGCAGATCAGTCAAAACATGCAAAACACTGCCAGACTTCTTTTTAGAAGTGGAGATATTTGGTCCAGACATGGTTTGTTTCATCTCAACTAAAAGAATCGCTGATTGGCAGCTCCGCACATAGATTAGAGAACATTACAGATAGTGTAATAACCTGTGGAGTCGTGGGCCCTCCAGTCCAGTGCTTCCGTCTGTGCCGTGCGGACCAAGCGTGACGGACGCGATCGGATTCGCCTCTTACCCAGGTCTGCCCTGGATCTCTGTGCGCTGGTGTCAAGGAGAGGAGTGGAGCTCTGTGCAGAGACACACAAACTGAATCTAGCAAGCACTGAATAGAATCCACCACAGTCACCTGTGTGCGTTACCACAGTGTCACACGATTAAAATGTAGATACAAGAACACTGGTTTTCTCAGGCAGGTTTGCAAAGTAACAGCCACGTTGTATGTTAAGTTTATACAAAATGACTCAGACATCCACTGGCGTCAGTCATGAAGGAGAAAATTTGAGAAACAAATCGTCACCAACCTCAGGGAACGGAGCCAACTCTGGCTCTTTGTGCAAATCAGTGGTATCGACATCTTCAGAGGAGACTTCGGCAACTTGTTCAGGGATGTGCTTTGAACTGAAGAGAACGAGAGTTACTCAGAATCATGTGTCTCAGGTGGAGATGAGAAGGCAAAGGGTGTTGAAAAATGCTTTTAGTTCAGTTCATTTTTTGTGCTGTGCTCTGTCAACCACAAGGGGGCACAGGGAGCTCAACTTTTGCCACTACTTATGGCACTTTTTACTGTGCAGCTGCACTTGGTTATGCTGCCACAGGATTTCTGTCTCTAAATTGCATGTTTCATTAAGTTGAATATTTTCGTTCAAAGTCTAAATAACATATTTGGTCAACAAAAACTGAAAAAAGAAAAGAACTTTACAACAGTTTTGCAGGCATGTGTTTTATTATTGGTTGGACAGCATGCCTCACTGATCATACTAGGAAACCGCAGCTAAACCTGGCCCTCCAACTACCACCTCCAGGCTACTTACTTTAAGACTTGAGTGTCAGATAGCTATAGGGCTTCTATTTTTCAGGTGTACTCAGTTTAAATTAAATCACTTCAATGTGAAGTCACACCTTCAGCAGAATGACAAGAATGACACTTAAACCCGCCCATTCCCATCTGACACTACAGAAGAAAATGAGGCAAGTGTTAAAGTTACAGTGGGGCTTGTTCTGTAATGCAGTCTCTTTCCTACCTGTCGGTTTCAGACGTTGGTTCACAGACCCCATCCTGCTGGTCTGGTTCACTGCCTATCAAAGCATCAGTGTCTTTGTCATCATCGTTTGTGAGGAAACTGTTAACCGGCACCTGTGAAGTAGACACAAAAATTCATTTAAATGGTTTGAAGCAGAGCAAAATCAAAAAAATGTTTTTTAGACTGTGAGACATCTTTTGCTAAATACAACCCCACATCAAAGCTATACTCATTTGGATAAACTGCTTTATCATGTCGGAAATATTTGTCTTTTCTCTGCAAATCAGCATATTAGGACTTCAAATTGTGGAGCTGAGACAGGGAGAAAATGGACTGTGTGCTGAGCCAAGATCACTAACTACAGAGGGAGAGAGGACGAAGGACCAGCCAAGCATGCGTCTTTTAATGAGCCGGTCACAGAGACTGGGCTGTCCTCAATAAACACCAGGAGCATGTGCATGCACGCACGCACGCTGGCATACACACCTATATGCCGACACGCCAAACACACTCACAATGTCACGCCCACATGCTGGAATGCATGGGTGCACACGCGCTCACACACACACACACACACACACAGTCCAAATAAAAGCAACCACAGTGCACTTCTCCTCACAAACATTCCTTTAAGCTCACTTCACATTTTATCAAGAGGCACATCCCAGTGTTGTGTTGCCTGATACCGTCACCTGGATACAAGACAACACTCCAGTAAACACTTGTGCCACCGTCTCATCTCCTTCGTGAGTTCATCTATTACTCAGGACTTACAGAGCAGCTTCATTTGCACAATGTCTGTTATCTGGCAGCATCACAGCATGAACGAATAGGCTTCTAGTGATTTTCCTATAACCGCAATCCGTGTTCAGATGCAGAGAAAAAACAAAGTCGGCTTTAATGGAGACACAGCTCTACTGCTGTTTCCACAGAAGTAGCCACTGAAGCTCACCAAGTTTTTAATGTTCTTTACATACTTAATCTTTTCACCACATCATTAAAATCTAGTACCTCCCTTTCATGCTATTTAAATTGCTTCTTGCGAATTCAAAAAGAAACTAGATTCGCTTTCAGAATATTTTCTGTCTGGGAGAGGTGCATATTTGTGGCAATTAATAAGACAATAGGCGAACGCATCTCAGTATGATTTGTATAGTAACATGAAACAGATACTGTTTTCAGAAATAGAGAATATTTTTGCTTTATAGTAACTTTTTAATTTAGACAAATTAGATGTTAGCCAGCAGTTTACACATTGCGTAAACATGGTGCAACATTAGCAACGTTTATTGCAATATGAAAAGTATGTCCAACCTTTACTTTCCTTTAATCTCTGTTTTGGTCTCTACCAACTTTTAAAGAAAATGCAGCCACAACATTAAAACCCAAAGTGGTGAAGTGAATAACACTGATTTTCTCATGATGATCACACCTTCAAGAAATAGGATTGTACATTAGGCAGCAAGTAAACAGTCAGATTTTGAAAGTGATGTGTCGGAAACATGTGACTGACTTTGACCATAGCGACATTTTGATTGCGAGAAGACTGGGTCAGAGCATCTCCAAAACAGAAGGTCTTGCAGGAGTTTCCTGTTATGCAGTGGATACTAAAAATTGGTCCATGGAAGGACAACCAGTGAACCGGCAGCAGGTTAATTTGCACCCAAGGCTCATTAATACACTTAGGACCAAAGGCTGGCAGGTTAGGGTTAGTGTTGTGGTCACATCCCATAGAGGAGCTGCTGTAGCATAAACTGCTCAAATCCTTTATGTTATGATAGAAAAGGAGATCTGAACAAAAGTATTGGAGGAAGGTGGCCCTGGTCTGATGAACACAGTTTAACATCATATAGATGACCAGGCATGTGCATCATTTACATTGGAGAAGAGATTGCAGAAGCATGCACTATGGGAAGAAGGAAAACTAGCAGAGGCCGTGTGATACACTACAGAAAAAAGTTCCAGGGAGATCGTTTTAACCCCCCTAATCTTCCTGCTCAGGGGGACAGTGAGCTACTTTGTGAAAGCTGTGGATGGGACTTCCTGATTGGTCAGATATGCAAATGTTTCTCACAGCATTTCACCCCATATTATTTAAAAACCTGCTACTGCAATGAAACCATTTATTTAGTTTTTGTTCACTGTGCTACAACAAGCACAATGATGAGATAATACTGTTTTGCACCGCCACATGTAAAAATGGCACAGTCACGCAGATGTCTGTTTTTGAAGAGACTAATTTCCCCAAATATTCACAGAACTTAAGACTGTGCTTGAAACACAAATAACAAACTTAAGAAGCCTTTAGGTTTGTTTCTGGACATCAGGCCCTGGAACCAAACGTTGTGGGGACTTTTGGTGAAATCAAGGTTTTGAGAAACACCTTGAAACGTTTTAATTTAAGTGACTGTTAGTATAAAAAACCTGTTAGTGCAGCTTTAATCTAAACATGCACAGAGATTCAAGATGCATATGCACAATGGAAACTCTATTGGAGCATGCAGGCATGTACATTCCTTAAGTGTTCTATTAGTAATAACTGGACAGTGAGAACTTCTAGTGTAGATGTAAGTATCTTATAGGCTGAAAATTACACTTCTGTATGCCAGGACAGTATGTGCTCGTGAAGGTGGAGGATGTGCTGTACAAGTTAAGACAGAGTCTGCTTCATTACAGTTTACCTGCATCACATTTTTGTCACAGTCAGTGGAATGTGTTAGAGGGCTTGTTTATGGTTAAGTGGAGAGGAAAACATCTTAAAGATGCCACAAGCACAACTAACCAAGACTGTACAAGTCTCTAACTGTGGATTTCTGTCAACAAAACATCAGCTGAATCAGCATGGATTAACACATTAAGAGTGAAAACAGCCTGCAGGTTGTTTTTTCTCCTTTTTGGCCTTTGAGTCTCCTGCACACCCACATGCACAGACACAAACATACACATCTACACCCACGTGCAGGCTGCAGCCACACCGCACACTTTTAAAAGTATAAAGATTATAATAAACTTTGTGTTGTTTAATAACAGTTTTGACAATTTTCTGTAAAATGTAAGATTGTAGTCTGATGTAATGGGCACTGATGTAATGACAGATAATGTAAAAATAAATACTATGAAGGAAGATGTGATCAGGTTAAACAAAAGGCAGAAGCTCACTCGCGTGCACGGACATAAACAGACACACAGCCAGTGTGGAACAAACCTTGTCCAAGTGTGTCACACTTTGTTATTGTCCTCTGCTTTATCTCTGACACACACCACAGACAGAGAGGGAAAGGGCATGCATGTACACTGATAAAACACTACATTCGGACAACTTTATCAGATAACTCCGTCCTTCCTGAAACAAACTGCCGCTGTCTGCTGCACTCCCTGTTTAGATTTGCATGCTTATCTGTTAACACATGGACGTAGAAGTGTTGGACTAGGAAACTAGTTGCATGGAATTCATGGAGCTTACTACAAAGTGTCTAACTCGGGTGTGACTTTGATGAGCCCAGGCCTTTAAAGCTGCCATTTTCATTCATCACTGTACCTGATGTAAATGCAAACAGACTGTTAATGCAGTGTCTGACTGTCTATATATTAGAGTTGATCTGAATATGAGTGCAGAACATTACAAAGCATTTACTAGTCATCTACCAAGTTACCATATCAGTTCTTACAGAGCAGGTTTCAGTGGCTCTCCTCTGCACAGTCTGCCGACTCCTGATGGAGAAGTGACGCAGGGATCTCCTGCTACGTCTGGCGAAGCTACGAAGCGGTGACATGGCTCTCTGAAATCTTCCTCCTCCACTTTCTTCCTCTTCTTCTTCTTCTTCTTCTTTATCATCCTCTTCCTCGTCCTGCTTCTCCTCCGAGGGGCCCCACACCAGCTCCAGAGCCCCATGCAAGGACCGTCGTACGCTGCCCACCCAACCTGCCACCTGCAGCTGGGCGGCCGACAGTTTTCCTCCGAAGTACTGCATGGTTGAAAAGCTCACGCAGCTGGCCGTCCTGACGCTTGGGTCACCATGGGAACTGGGTCACCGGAGAAACTGAGGTTCAGCTTTGTTAGAGATGAAGGGATTTTGCGGGTGAGTCAGAAAGCTGGGTCTGTGATCTGGTGTTCATTTTAGGCCAGCAGAAGAGACGGGCGGCACAAATGATTTCTTAGGTTTTGGGATGTCATACAAAACAAGATATAGTCCATCTTTCATGCGAGCAGCATCCTTCCTCTCTGGACATATTTTTATGGTTCAGCTCACACACACTTCCTGGAACAGTCAATCATTTACTCTCGGTAAAGAAGTAAATAGTCTGGCCAGCCATGTGTTTGCACTGTGACAACACTAGTCCTCTGCAGCATTAACTATAATGCATGTGACTTCCTAAACAGCAGCATCCCAAAACAAAGATCCGCTCATCATCGCATTATCATTCATTTAAAAGACACTGGAAGAAATCTGCAGCAAAAACTCCTCTTCGTTGCAACATTGGAAGTAAGAGAAGACTAAGGAAGGTTTTAGTTTAAATTTATAGAGTTACCTCTTCATGTGCACCCCTCTGTCTCTCTTTGGCTAAAGCTTGTTCTGCCACAGTCAAGCTTGTTGGCTTGTTTGCCTACGTCCCAGTTCACAAAAAGAGAGAGAAAAAAAAACAACAACAAAAAAAAAAACCAGCATGGGAAATATCTGCCACTCCAAACATCCAATGCCAAGTACAAGGAGGTAGATCACCCCTTTATCTCCTGAGTGATTTCAGAGCACGTCAAAACAAAGCGGAGGTCTGTGCTTGGATGTGGAAAATCCCGAGGGAAGGAAGGAAGGTGCAGCAGGCTGGGCCAAGGTGCTTTCTGTCCCTCCCTCCACTGCTCTCTTCCCGTAGGTAAATGCAGGCAGTGAATGAAGCAGGTCTTTGTGAGTCGGAAAAGGCAGACGGAACAGAAAACAGGAAGGCTGGTGGAAAGCTGAGAGAGCATTTGAGCAACTGGGATCACTAGATGAAAGAATGGACAGCAGACATGTGAAGTTTCTTGTCTGTGGATTAGCCCATCCTCTTTTGTGTGCATGTGTGCTGGAAAGAGTGTGTGTTTTGGGGGGGTTGATGGGCTCTCTGTCTGAAAACAGGGTGGAGAGATTGAGAGACAGAATGAGGGCAGATAGGGGCACCATGTATGGTCATTCTGACATGCTGGAGATCCAAATGAGGACATGCTGACCACATAACACCAAGGCCTTTCTTACTATAGGATCCACCCTCCTGTCTGTCTGTCTTTAAGTCAGTAGCCTGAATGAGGGGGCACGGTCGGCTGCACACCTTGTGTTTGCCCAGTAAACATTCTCCTACTTCTGGCCTTTCAGAATGAAAGGCTTCTCTCTGCCACTTTGTTGGTTTTCTTGCAGCGCCAAAAAGGAAACATCTTATTCATCAAACTAAAGTGTCACTGTGATCTCATCATGGGAGAGTAAGGTGCTCTCCATGAGATCAACTTGATTTTTTTCTGTGGTGCAGAATAAGGAAGCATCATTTCTAAGAGCAGCAGCGCCACTCAGTGGAGAGAACAAGGATGTACTCACACGGACAAGGCCGGCAAAGCAACGAAGCAGACAGTTTTTATAGTACACAAATGATTACATACAATGCCCCAATACAGTAAATTTAATAGGTTGTATGTGTTGTGGTTTGTTTTTTAAAGCATGCATGCCGAAAGTAGAGACACAGCATCACAACAACACACAGGGATTAGTTCAGTATTTCATCAATTATGTTTCAACAGGTGATTTATGTTTTTCATTTTAGGCTGCAATCCTCATTGGTCTGTCACCTATTACGCACCATGAGGCTAACACTGCTCAGGTGACTAAAAAATAAACATAGCTGACTATTACACTCCACCCAGCTGATTAAGACAACATCTATTCCGGTACAGTTCATTTGTGGACCCACCCAGATGTCAGTTCTGACACGGTTTGCCGCCTGCACATGTACTACCACTTTAATGGGTCCCTGAGTGTGAATTGACTGAATCAGAAAATACACTTTAAGTTTCTCATATTTTTATCATATATAATGATCTGCACTGCTGTCGATAATTAATAGTCAAAGTCTTCAACATTCAGTGGTTCTTCAGCTTCGTCCTAACTTTACAGACTTAAAATGAACTACACATTAATGACAGATCACATATGGAAGGGTGGTTTTCCCTAATAAAGAGTACACTTGTGTTTTTTCCTATGTTGAAACAGCTTAAAATTATCAGCCATTTGTTGTAAAGTTAGTTTTAAGCAAGGCATTACCTGCATCTATAACTTTGTTTATTGTTAATCTAATAAACCTCAATATGAAACATCTTGAAATTAACTGAGACACTTCCAATGGAACAATGGTGAAACAAATAGACATCTAGAAGATCTAATTTCAACAGAGATGCAGCGAGAGAAAATATTTTTAGTTGCTTTAATGCTGAGCGTTAGATTAGAAGATAAATACCATTCTCATGCCAAATATAGATATTCTGTCATCTAGAAACAAAAAAAGGGTACAAATAACCAGCCTGGCTCGCTGCCTGGTGGTTTAGTTCGTTGTGAATGTAATCAGTTTTGCTGTTTTTATTTGATGATAAACTTGATAAACTTGTTGGTTGCTGATACAATGATGGTATCGATTTTCTTTTTTAAATCCTCTGCTAAACAGCAAATACAGGTTTTACTGAAAATGCTGAACTACACCTTTGGAAAGCTGACAAATCAGTACTTAATAATGCTTCGTCACAGAAAAATGTCAGTCACAGTTGTTGATGTGCAGAATTGTTTACGATGCACCAATAGCACAAGAGATGTTAGGAGGAAAGATATGACAAAATCTCTGATGGTCAGACTTGCATAGTCTCATTGCATATCATCATAGTAACAGAAACCTGTCCACACTTGCCTTAGCCACAGATCTTGATGCCAACAATTTACCAAAACCTCTTTCAAGTCACAACCGTCTTTCCCATGTGGAAGCTCAAAGCTGCACTGCTCTATTGGAAACAGGCCACAATCTCCAGATACATCACATTCACCTGCTGCACTGAACAGTTCTGTTGATGGAGCCTTGGCAGGTGACCAATTTCTGTTGAAGTATTTAACTACAGTGTTGGGAAATCCAAGCTTATTACGTGACAGAAAAACACAAACATATTAGGTGTAACTTGCCGAGGTAGCTTTACAATGCATTGCACAAGCACAAGCGCTTGTGAGGTAACATTTAAGTACGTATAGTGTCAACATTAGCAGTTGGAGAGGATGCGTCCAAGATGAAACTGTGAAATAATCCATTCCTCCGCTACAGGTTCTACCGTGTCTACTCTTTACATTGACTTATACTCATTTTCTTCACCCTTATCATAATCAAAACTTCTACCAATCCTAACCAACCCATCAAACCAAAATCTAATCATTTGCATTATGTCGACTTGCTTTTTGTTCCCATAAAGTAAATGAGACTATCAAAGTGAGATTCACGCCACCACATGAGTGCAGGGTTCCTCTGCATTTTTCCATTTCAAAATTACCTACTTGAGACTAATTTCTAGACCTTTTAAATATAGATTTTTTTTAGCCCATATCTGACATTTAGGTACAAAAAGATAGATGTTTATTATGTAAATGAAATGAAATCCAACTTATGCTGCAAAACATTTGCTACAATATTGTAGCTGTAGATACAACAGCTCATGCAGACTTTTATTCAAGCCGCAATTCTACAACAGTGAGCAACAAAGAACAGCAACATCTCTGCCAAAAATGTTATTAGCAATATTTCAAAGTGAAACAATTTCTAAAGTGCAGCCTTGTTTATTCACTTTATAACATAAAAGACCTGTGGTTTTCCTTAAAGAGAAATTATTTACTCTTTTTGGTAAATACGTCACTGCCAATCAAACAAGTAATAAATGCTAAGATAAACGCAGTATTTGGTTATTTGTAGTGCAATGTATAGATACAATTAAAGGATATTGTTGCATTTTCATTCAAACATAATTTGATGTACAATGTCTAGATTTGCTGCACTTAAATGGTGAACTTTTTGGCTGCGCTGGTTGTTTGCTCCAAATGCTACAAACACTCTGCTTGTATGATTGATTTCTATTTAGAAATTTAGAATTTTTGATTTTACAAAACAAAGTAGAAAAATATCGTATTCTTCAGGTGTTCAGGGAGGCAGACACCGCCTCTACTTTTAAGATTAAACTTTTAACTTTCAAGCAAGCCTGGAAACGACCAAACTCAAATGCCATGTGTTTTCCATCCTGCATAGGAACCATGTGAGTAATCCAAGTACACATACACACATGCCATCCACACAATCACAAGTTCTTAAGCTGTGACTTCATCAGGCAGAAGCAAGTATGACAAGATATTTTCCCTGGTGTTACAGGAAAGGCAATGTGTTGAGGCAGGTGAGGTGTGTGTGTCTGCCAGGCCGGTGTGATTCAGCGATGAAATAACTACATTTACATGTACACTCCTGCCTCTGTTCCTAACCTCACCCTTTCTGCATAATTGAACAATTAACCCATTCATGCAACCAGGGGTGATATTGGCAAAACAAAATCTATCAAACATGATAAGAGATACAAATCAAGACTTTTGTTTTTACCTTCTGCTTGTCGTCTTCTTCTGGTTCTTCTTCCTCCCTCTCCGTCTCCTTCTCCTCCTTCTCCTCCTTCTCCTCTTCCTCCACCTCAACAGAGATGAGCTCTTCCACCTTTGGCTTCTCCTCCTCCTCCTCCTCTTCCTCCTCCTCCTCAGCTTCCACCTCTTCCTCCTTTGCCTCCTCCTGAGCTGGTGTGGGTTCGGGGCTGTCAGGCTTTTCCACCTGCTCTGATAGGTTGTATTCCTGAGATGTGACAGCCATGGGCACCAGCATCTCCTCCTCCTTCTCCTCCTCCTTCTCTTTATCCACAAGATCAACTGCCCAACTATAGGTAGTATTTTCTGGTTTCACCTGTGAGCCCCTTTTCCTTGGCTTGACTGAAAAATCATCAAAATCCACCTCAAACTGAGGCTTTTTCACAGAGAAGTCATCATAAACAACATCTATTAGACTCCCTGTGGGCTCGTACATTTTTGTTGAGGGGGAATATGGTGCTTTTGACGTCTGAGCCAAATCTTCAGAGTCAAAACTGATTAGACTTTGCTCTTCTTGGTCCACCGCCAACTTTGGTTCCCTGCTGGTCAACTCGAGTTCTTCTCTTTTTCTCTCCTCCTCTATTCTGAACTTCTCTTTAAGTTCATCTGCTTGCTTTCTTTCCAGTTCCTCTCGCATCTTCCTCTCCAGCTCCTCCAATCTTTCTTTCTCGATTTGTCTCTTTCTCTCTTCCTCCCTTTGTTTTTCCATTTGTCTCATTCTCTCCATTTCTTCCTCTTGTTCCTGCTGCATTTTCCTCTCAAGCTCCCTTCTTTTTCTCTCCTCTTCCTCCTGTCTCTGTCTTTCCCTCATCCTCTCTTCCTCTTCCAGCCTCCGTCGACTCTCCCTCTCCTCAGCCTCCTTTCTTAATCTTTCTTTCTCCCTCTCTTCTTTCTGCTTTTCCCGCTCTCTTTCCTCCTCTTTCTGTCTCTGCAACATCAGCTCCATCTCTTTCTCCCTCTCCTTGTCTCCTTCTTCTACTTCCAACCTCTCTGTCTTCTTCACCCATTCTTTCTCCCACTCCTCCTCTCTTTGTTTCTCTTTATTCATTTCCTCCTCTACCAGTTTCCTCGCCAGTCGGTGCTCTTCTTGTTCATGAATCAGCCTCTCCTCGTTTTCTCTCAGCCGCTCTCTCTCTCTTTCCTCCCTCATCTTCTCCTCTTTTCTCTTCTCCTCCTTCAGCCTCTCCTTTTCCCTCTCCTCCTCCTCCTCCTCCTCTTGTTTAAGTCTCTCCTCCTCCTGCTTTGCCCTCTCTCTTTCCTCCTCTCTCTGTCTCTCCAACATTGCCTCCATCTGCCTCTCCCTTTCCATCTCTTCTTCCCTCGCTCTCTTCATTTGTCTTTCCTCTTCTTCTAAACGTTCTCTCTCCCACTCCTCCTTTCTCCGTCTCTCCATCTCCTCCTGCCTCAGCGCCTCTCTCTGTTTCTCCTCTTCCCGAAGCCGAAGCTCTTCCCTCTGTCTTGCTCTTTCCTTCTCCCTTTCCTCTTCTTCACGTTTCTGCTCCTCTTCTAACTGAAGCTTCGCCTGTTCGTGCTCCTCTGCTCTTCGTCTTTTTTCAAATTCCAGATGTTTCAGTCTTTCCTCTTCTTCTTCTTCTCGTTGGCTCTCATCATCCTTGCTCTGAAAAATTCCTACTCTTTTATAGACAGGCACTGAAACGGGGACAGAAACGGGGACGTCCTCATCTGTTTCATCGTCACGAGCCTCTTCTTCTTCTTCTGAACTGGAGTCAGACGCTGAGCCCAGGATAAGTGGAGGCCCTCCATCATCTCTCTCCACGATACCGAAGCGAACAGAGCGACGTTTGACGTTGTTCCTCTTTAGTGCGGGTTCAGCGCTTTCACTCGCGGCTGAGTCGCCCTCATGGTTGGAAGCTTGGCTTGCAGATGGGCTACGACTACGTGGCTGGACATCACCTTTTGATGATTTGTTTTGCTCTCCTGGCGTCTCTGTCGGGCTTTCTACTGATTTATCCTCGGTCAGATTGTCTTTCGATGTTTCCAGTGGGGTCTCTGTTGGTTGTCCAGCAGATGACACCTTTGAAAGTGGATCCACAGGCAGAGAAGGTGACGTCTCTACTGCAGGATGCTCAACAGTTGGGATTTGGGGGGCTTTCTCGGCTGCTGGAGCAGCTGCAGGTTCAGAGCTGCAGAAGAGATATCAATCACAGTCATTAATTGTGAAAAACAGAGTTTAATGATGATGCTTGCTTTAAAAAATGTTTTACAGATTCATGGCAGCACCTAGGCATGTCTCAACACACCCAAGCTAATCCGATCGCAGTGTGGTAATGTTAGAAGTTTGAAAGTTAACATTAGAAGACTGATAATACCCTGTTTGTACGACCTAATGCAAAGCAGCCTGCAGTTTGTTAGCTTAGCTTAGCATAAAGACTGAAAGCTGGGAGAAATGGCTACCCAAGGAGCACCTTGTGAAAGCCTTACTAAGTAACACAGAAACGTAACAAAGATCACAAACAGTTTTACATAGAGTTGTGTGATACAACTATTTCTTATTCAAATCAGTGACTTCTAGGGACTCTCTACTGGTCCAAGAAATAGTCCAGCATGTAACATATCATATCATTAACATCATACAGACATAAGCATGGTATCAGTGTTGACCAAGAGTTAGAAAGTAAATTAACGAAAAATGCTAATTTCTTCCTTTAAAATGTCCGTTTTTCACCCAATTAGCAAAACTTCTTAAAAACGTATCTCTTTCGTAACTAGTCATTCAAATAGCTTTGACTCCATTTACACACTGTTAACAGTTTTCATACAAGACAGTGTATCTTTAGCACATACAGAAGTAGTTCCACTGAAAACTACTGGCAGTAACAACTGTCTCCGAAACACCAAGGACAAGGCTGTTGAAGTGTTGTGAGGAACATTGTAGCAACAGAAATCTAACACATAATTGTCTGAACATCATCCAAACTACCTGTGAGTGGTTAAATATGTAAGTGGGGTAACAGAAGAAAAATAGCTAAACTGACCCTTTAATCGTTTGTGCGTACTTGTGTAGTAAATTGGACATCTAATCTCTATATCCACACTCTGCAGTGCCCTAGTTTGCACTCTTATCTAACCTCAGTTATTTAAGGACAGAAATCTGGCCGCAATATTGATATTGCAAGCACCATTGTTCATTTACCGCACCCCTGCTATCAAGACACATGAAACATGGAAGGAAAAAAAAGATGATGCTTGAAGCTTTCCTGCCTCAACAGTTCGAGACTTGCAATCTCTTCCTGACAGAAACTGGAAGCTGCCACACAAAACACTAAAAGAGTCTTCTTTTCTGCAAAGACACCATATGACACATGCAGCCTAGAGATCCTTCCCACACTGGGGTTCAAATAGTATATGCCTGATTATATTTTTAAATCCCAGCTCCAGTTAAGAAAAGAAAAATAACCCACGTGCATGAAAATATGAGAGAGGAAAAACCGCATAATCCGAATTCACTTTAAAGGATTAGTAATAATAACATTAACAGCCTGAAAAGATTGGTCAAAAGTGAATTTTTAAAAAGTTGCCCGTAATAGCCAATCATAATATGTGTCACAACTTTAAAATAAACCTCTTGATTGATTACACTTGCAAGATAATGTGCCTTTGCTTTTACTCATGTCTAGTCCTGTCACCAAACACAACTGATGAACTCACCTCTTGGAGCGAGATCGGGGTGCAACCTGAGGCTTCTTCTCTGTCTTTGGCCCCTCAGAGCTTGATTCTGTTGCCCAGTTTTTGATTCGTTCCTTCACGCCTCCTGTGCCGTTTATTATTTCTGGCTCCTCTCTCTTCGTCATGATCTCCGGCCTCGACGACGAGTCAAACAGAAGACTGATTCTGCGTTTTATACTGCCTCCTCCGTGATAATCCTCCGACGGTCCTCCTTCGTCACTCTCCCTGTTCGATGGCTCTGGTATTGCCTGGTTCTGCTCTGGTTGGGAAGATGCTGGCTTTTTTGACTCATCCTTAGTGTTGGTTGTAGAGATGGGTTTTGTTGGTTTAATGGGTTGGGGGGGCAGAGACAGACCACCTGACTCAAACCTGGAGGTGAGCTCCATGGACAGGCGTTTCCTCGTGCTGCCCCTTCCATGTGTTGGAATGGCTGCAGAGGACCCATCGTTTCCTGACTCCTCAAGCTTTTGGACAAGAGATGATGGAGTTTCTTCTTCCTTTTTTCTGTCTGTCTGCTCTGAGTTAGTGACGATATCTGCAGATGCTTTGTGGTTCGTTTGGAGGACATTGTCTTTCTGGACTGGCTCAGGTTTGGGTGTCGGCTTGTGAGTGGTTTGTGAGACTGGATCTGATTTTTCTGCACTGGAATCAAGAGTATCCTCTTCTCGGAGGCCTGCTTCACTTACTTTGGTTGTTTTTGGTAGAGTTTTGGGGGGTGCACTCTCAGAGCTCGGTTTGGGGTCTGAGGCGGAAGTTGGTTTAGTTACAGTATCGACAGAGTCTTTGTGGTTTGTTTGGACGACATCGTCTGTCTGGACCGGCTCAGATTTGGGTGTCTCCTTAGATGGAGTGGTTTGTGAGACTGGATCTGATTTTTTTGCACTGGAATCAAGAGTACCCTCTTCCTCTAAGCCTGTTTTAGTTGATTTGGTTGTTTTTGGTAGAGTTTGGGGGGGCGTACTCTCAGAGCTTGGTTTGGGGTCTGAGGCGGAAGCTGGTTTAGTTACAATATCTACAGATTCTTTGTGGTTCGTTTGGACGACATCGTCTGTCTGGACTGGCTCAGATTTGGGTGTCTCCTTAGATGGAGTGATTTGTGAGACTGGATGTGATTTTTTTGCACTGGAATCAAGAGCACCCTTTTCCTGGAGGTCTGCTTCAGTTGTTTTGGTTGTTTTTGGTAGAGTATGGGGGGGCACACTAACAGATCTTGGTTTGGGGTCCAAGGTGGAAGCCAGTTGAGGCGGTTTTTGAACAGCGGTGGTCAAAGCTGTAGCCTCTGATTTTCCACTCTGGTCCGGTTTTGGCTTAAGTGCAGCGGGGATTGTCTTTGGAGCATGAATGGAGCGAATAGCGGTGGTCTTCTGCAGAGAGAAGGGCTTGGGAGTGAGCCGGGGTTTGGGAGCCAGAACTGGCTTGGGATTTGAGGCGCCTCCAGTCTGGGAGGCCTCAACGGAGCTCTCCATGAGTGAGTCCCTGATAGAGGAGGGCAAAAAAGAAGAAGACGTGTTTACATACAACAGGATACATATTTACATTGGAAAAACATTATAACGCTCAGACAAAGCCAGTTGGTTGCGTTGTCACAAGGACAGGTCTGGTTAGTCGGGATTTTTCAAAAGTGCATTACTACTGCGGGGGTAAAAAGAAAGTAATCAATCACACTGAACAAACACCAGCAACTCTGAAACGTTTTCCTGCTAGTCTCACTTCTTCCTCAAAGTGGTATTCACTGGGTTAACACTACGTATACTGCTGCAGATAAGTTCGCATGATAACATTTACAGATGTGAAGGGTTACACAGTTTGAAAAATTGAATTCGACAGTGGAAGCGAGCCGCCCTTCAGTGCTGTCACTTCACACTGCACTTAGGAGGTAAAACCGCTCAAATAGGACTCAAAACAGGCAGGTGGGAGGCTTCGTCAGAGACAGGCCCGATGAGTCATCACATGTACCTGCAACACGATCTACAGAAATGACAGCGTCTCATCAGATCTCTCCCTGAACTGAAACCACTGAAAGATAAACAAACTCCAACCGTCCCAAAGTTGTCAGGTGAGCAATCTGGGCCCACAAAAATGTCTTTCACTTAACGAGGAGCCAAACTTGTGAACCGTGTGAAATAAAGTAACACTATTTCCTAATCTGCTACACTAAATACCACAGGCATTGTACGCAGCGTGTCATCTGGTTTGGCCTGTAAGACCTTTGCACAAACCGGTAACTCCACGCCCCGCAGATTAATACTGTGCTACACTCACAGCATCAGCACTGTCATGGTATCAATCTGCAGCTGGTTTTGCATGGACTGTTTTGATTCCAAACAGTCAGTATGTGCACTTACACTCTTTTTTTGTGTGTGTGCATGATGTTGTTATTTTGCTACATTGCTTAAACACACATCACCTCTGGGCGTGCATGATATTGGGTAATGGGGATCAAAGCTGTGCACACCACCCAGCGAGGTTAAATAATGTGTCCTGTTTGTTTCATCCCCTAAATTCCTAAGAAACAAACACTGTCCAGCAGATAAAGCTGCAGCAGATGGACGAGGATTGCTTGTTTAATGGATTTCATGGGTGGCAGGAGTCAGTGAGAATCATTTTTGCAGCCGCAGCAGCACTTTGCTTGCAGGGTTTATCTTTATCTTTGTTTGCCTTTCGAGGCTGTTACCCTGCCAAGGCTAACGTTACACTGGCTGCCTTTCGATTTGGATGTTTAGGTTTTGTTCATTTAGTTCTTGTGCTTTGAGTGATGCTGGGAGGCAGCACTTAGTTTGGGTAATTAAGTCTCCAACAGCCAAACATCGCGATTAAATGACATTAGACAGTTAAATGGACATTTTCCCCTGTCTGTTTCATTTTGGGTTGTTAATAAGTTACTAGTAAACACGTCAACGATGAACTCCCAGTCGTTGAACCAGCACAGTGCCCTCTCAAAGTGGACAAAGACGGATAAATAAACGGAACTTTTCTTGTGAACCAAACTGTCTCTTCTGTAAGGAGACACTGTATGCGGATGTTCAGGATCTTTACAAAGCTCCGGGAAACCCTTACGACACAGTAATACGGATTGTGCACCTGCTGCTAAACTAAACATTTCCCATCATTACGATATCAACATTTCGTCTGTATGAAGTAGTTTTTTCTACCTTTAGTCTTCACGCAGTCATGCAGGTGGAGGAAGGATGGAAGCGGGAAGAAGTTACAAAAGAAAAAGTGCTCCTCAGGTTTCCGCGATCGTCTCGCCTGCTGAGCTGTTGTCAGACTGTGTGTGTGTGTGTGTGTGTGTGTGTGTGTGTGCGTGGTTTTTTTTTAAAGTCATTCACACCAACAAGACGTCAGGCGGCTCCTACGCCTAGCAGACACTCCCTCTGCCCGCCTCAGGTCGAGGCGCTCTGCTCCGCGTAAAGACGCGCAAACAAACACAAGTGAAGGCGCGCAACCGCGTCAAAATAAAGCACCACATGCGGCAGCAGTTAGTAGATCCTGAAGTAATGTTTACGGGTATGGTTTAATCACATCTGCTACACAAGACAGAGTGAGCTATTAAAGCACGGACAGGCATGTCATTTCAGTTTGGGTACTAAGGTTTGAGGACATCAGGTCTGACGAGCAACTCAATAAATAAAATAATATTAAAATAAAACTAATTAAAACAAATTATGTAAATGCATAAACTTTTTTTTTTTTTTAATGGAGCTTAAACCAATCTGTAAAGTGTTCAAACTGTATTAAAGATAACACAGCAGTATCTGTCGTGGATTTGTTTAACTGTTGTGCAGCAGAAATGTATTTCGCCAGCCATAGTACCAGCAAATAAACTAAAGTTAATGTAAGACAGCTTATTTATAAAGAACCTTTCACATGCAGAGGTTATTCAAAGTGATTTAGAAGAAAAAATGAGGTGGAAAAAGAAGATAAAATACAAAATACAGCAGGATAACATTAAAGTAATTAGATTTTCAAAAATTCAAATCATTGCACACATATTTTTACAGAATGATTATAACTGATTGACTAAAAAAAACAACAGAAAAACATAAATAAAAACATCCACTTTATAAAATAAAACTAAAGACTTAAAGGGAAATAAAGGACTGTCTTTAGCCTATTTATATTTGGGTAAAATCGAAGTTCCAAGGGGAGCTTGGTCAATGTAATGACTAAACATCATTTCACTGTGTCTGGTCTAAACTCTGGCTCCACCAATGGACTGGTCCCTGCAGATCTTAGGAATCCAATCCCTACAATTTTTTGGTTCCAGACCATACAGAGATTTTTTGGCAATAATTTGGGCCTTAAATACAATTCTGTGTTTAACTGGAAGCCAGTGCAGAATATCTATCAAAGAACTGAATTGAAATGTTTCCACCTCTTGATGTTTGTCAGTATTCTCGCAGTAGCATTTTGAATGAGATTCAGATGTCTAATGGTGTTATTAGAGAGGTCAGTAAACGATGCATTGCGGTTCACTCTAAAGGTAATAAAGGCATGAATGAGCTTTTCTAAATCTTGCTTGGACACAACGTCTCTCAGTTTCTCAAGACAAGACGTCAATGCAAATTCTTTTGTTTTTGTATTCCGCTTTAGTTCAGCCAGCACAAACTGTCAGTGTGACTGAACGACTGTAGCAAACATGAAAATGAGCTGCAGGATCCAAAGTCCAGGAATGAAACTTGTGTTGGTTTATAGCAGTCAATGCAAAGTGAGCATTGCTCTGAAAAGCGAGGCCTGTCTGTAAGGTCTACATATAAGTGGAGGAAATTTGAAAAATGGACTTAAGTGGGTCACTCTAAATTTACTAAAAGCAGAGCTGTGAAAATTTGGACAGGAAGTTCTCTGTAATTGTGTCTCACTTGACTGCAGTTTGCTGCTCAATGGACTGGATAAACAGGTTCTGACTGAGATGAAAAGCCACTTTACTGAGAGTGAAAAGGAATAGCTCCATGCAGCTGTCACTGCTTTAGGGACAGAGCCGAGGCTACCTGGGGCTTCTTCACAGCAGGAACTGCCCATCACTGCATTTGCATAACACCTGGGCCTTTACAGCATTAATTTGCGTTGCCTCAGAGCAGGAAACAACACACAAGTGAACTTTCAGCACAGCTGAGAAATAAAGGCTTCTTAGAGCTTTACTTCTTACATCATTTAGTTCAGTGTGTGTGTGACAGACTAAAGTCATACAGCATAGGCACAATATATCTAAACTGAATTTCTTAATCACAGAAGAAAAAGCCATACGTACTTTTTCACTAATTTCCAATCGTATAAACAATCCGGAAAGGAGTATTTTCATTTTATGTTACTTTATCCTCAATTTCAGCATGAAATGTAACAATTTGTGTATTTTCTGCTTCAATTTATGGTGAAAATGTCTTTATTTAGGTCAGGGAAATCAAAAATTCTGCATAATGTGTAAACTTTCTTTCATGTTTGATGTTCTAAATATTAAGGGGGACCTTTCCTCTGCATTACCTCTGAAATCCAAGCCTATGTCCACTGGTTTCATCTGACAGATTTAATAACTATATGGTTTCTTTGCAGGGTAAGAGTTTATATTGGCTATCTAACACTTTGCTGTATGTTTGTTTATGGTGGAAATGTCCTCATCTATCTACAAGAAAGTTAAGGAAACAGGTGACAAAAAAAAACCACATAGCTCATGCAGGCACCCTGATTTGCTTTCAAATATTTATTTCCTTGTAGGTCAACTTTTCTTCTTTAATATTATCACTGCTTGTGCAACACACATATTTGCTCTTTTGCCTCTTTTGTGTCTTCTGTTTGGGGAAGTAGCAAAGCTCTGTAAGTGTTCGGGCAGCACCTTTTCATGTCATTTTGACTCATTTACAACCCTCTGTACTTAAATAGCTCATATATGTTTCACGTTGAAAGTTTTTACACAATTTTGACAAATGTGATATGCTGAAGAAAAATCCCTCACTGTGTTAGAGGCATTGTTGTAGAAACTGGAGCCTGTATTGAGATTTTTTTTTTTTTTTTTTTAATTATCAGCATCAATTTTATAACCAATTCCTGATCAAATAAATGAATTTCTCATGCAGCTATGTCTTTCGATCTGGAGTCACCACTCTGTGGTCTCAAGCAATGCTGCCGACTACAGCACATCTGACTGGTTTGGTTTGTGTATATTTTCACTGCAAGATGTGTCGTTTTTACTACAAATGTATATCAGTTCAAAAACATTGGGAACCAGTCTCCTTTATCATTTATATTGGCCCTGAATAAAAATCACATTGGCTATCGCTACATTGTTAAGTGTCTATGATTAAATGTTATAGCAGTCCTTTACTTCTGTTATGTTTTATTTCTATCAAGGGGGACAGCATGCGTCCCTTCTTGACTTATAATCCTATCTGTGGCACAATAACAGTCATTTTATTTATCTATTCAGAGTTAGACGTCCTGTATTTCCGTCTTCTAGAGCTGAATGTCTATCTCCAGTAAACAGAAACCTCTAGGGAACCTTCAAGGTTCCCTTTAGGTTTGTGTTTACAGCAAATGCAACTTTCTCGTTACATTCTACAAAAGCCAACCATCTGGGAACCTTTGGGGAACATTCTCTGAAGGTTTCTGTGTGTTGACAACAAACTACAGCTTTCTTGTAAAAATTCTCCAAAAACCAACCTCAAGGAAACCTTTGGGGAACATTCCCTTAAGGTTCCTGTTTAGTGACAACAAACTGCAACAGTCTCGTAAAATTTACAACAGCCGAACATCAGGAAACCTTTAAGGAATATTCCCTAAAAGTCTCTGTTTTGTGATAACAAACTGCAACTTTCTCGTAAAATTCTACAACAGCCAACTATCAGGAAACCGTTAGGGAATGTTCCCTGAAGGTTCCCGTTTGTTGACAACAAACTATAACGTTCTTGTAAAATTCTACAACAGCCAAACATCAGGAAGGGTCCTGTTTTGTGACAACAACCAGCAACTTTCTTAGAAAATTCTACAGCAGCCAACCATCAGGGAACCTTTAGGGAATGTTCCCTGAAGGTTCCAGTTTGTTGACAACAAACTGCAACTTTCTTGTAAAAACTATCCAAAAACCAAGCTTCAGGAAACCTTTGAGGAAACCTTCAGCTTTCTGGTAAATTTCTACAAACGCCAACCTTCAGGGAGCCTTTGAGGAACGTTCTCTGAAGGTTCCATGAAGGTTCCTGTTTACTCGGTCGCCCCCTGCTGGACGCTTCGAGACACTCCTCTGGCTCGCTGAGCGAGTTGTCATGGCAACTGTACAGCATGTGCTCACAAAAACAAGAGCTTGACCGTTTCACCGACACTTCTACCGACACTCGACATCCACGACGCCATCTTCTTCCTCCTCCTCCTCCTCTTCTTCTTCTGCGGCTTCTTCGTCTCCCAGCTTTTACCGGGAAGGCAGGCGGGAGACAACAAACCGAGGAGCGTGAACGATGAGCGGAGCCAAAGCCCGCAGCGACGCGCCTGTTGCTGAAAATGTCTCCGGCGGCGGCGGCGGCGGCGGCGGCCACGGCACCGTGGCTCCTCCGCGGGACCGCAAGTCCGGCGGAGGCGTTCTGAAGAGGCTCAAGTCCCGGAGGAGCCAGGTGGACAGCAGGCCCGTGACGGAGGACGACCTGCGGAAACAGAGCGGACACATCACGCCGGAGGATGTGCTCGGACTGAGAGTAGCTACGCGAGGTTGGAGTGTCTCTGTTGCCTCTCGTTGTTGTTGTTGTTGTTGTTGTTGACGGTTTTAGCCTGAATTAGCTTAATTGAAAATACAGCAGTTTACGTCCAGCTGTGCTATGAAGACTTATCTGACTGTCATGTGAAAATTACAAAGCAAACAGGCCTGCATATTGGACAATACGAACAATTATGGGACTCAGCAGGAGTTTTGTGACATGACGTGGTGACTTTAGGTGACTTTAAGCCAACTCAAATCTCAGAGCAAGAATGTGACAGTGCAGGCCTTCAGGGTGGTCTGTTTGAAATGAGAAAAAGAAGTAACAGCAGAGCAGATTCCCTGTTTGTGTCATGGCCTACATTTAGTGCAACATATAAAATATATGAAATGGCACTAAATGTGAAGCTTCATTTCTTTAATCTGTGAGAATAACATCGTTTATCATCATCATTCAATTGTAAAGGCATAATCAGTGTTTTCAGTGTTTTCTTTGTTTTAAACAAAACATTCACAGCACTTTAACATATTGTCCCTCATTAGCAAATGTCTTCATAATATATTATTTTATTTCTCTTTGAACCTAATGTTGATTGTTGTGTTTTTCTGTTACGGTTGCAGGCTGGGGGATTTTTTATTTTGTGTGTACATATGTGCAGGGAAATGACAAATAAATCTTGACATAATGAAATATACTCTCATTGGCTTCTTGCATGTCTGTTCTCCCGTATAGCTCCGTCATGATACAGTAGCCTCACAGTTCCTCCCTATCTTATCTTATTTTTGTTGTTGTATACCTGCAGTCTATTAAGTGTACATATTGACTGCAATGGCTTGAAGATGATTTCAGTGTTTCTAACTCCTGTCATCTGTCTGTCATCGTTGCAGGCTACCTCTGTAAACCTGAGGACAATATTTATAACATCGACTTTGTACGCTTCAAGATCAGAGACCTGGAGACTGACACTGTCCTATTTGAGATTGCCAAACCACCACATACAGGTACTGCACATGAGCCCGCTCGTTGTCATGTTTTGTCTTTGTGTTTGTCCTGTAGAGCAAATGCAGCTGTGAAGTATGTGGTTGCTAAACACTTTAGAAAGAATGTATTGACCCTGCTGACAGCTGATCCTCACTGGCTTAAAATAAGCAGCTTGCTTGGTTTGTAGACATCCATCTCTGGATGTTTTGATTAAAAATAGTCCGCAGTATGAATCATGCAAAAACGTCTTCATCGTCTTCATGTTCACCTGTGGTTGTCAGATGATGATGAGGAGAACAGAGAGGCAGATGCCAGCGCAGGCCGATTTGTACGCTACCAGTTCACTCCAGCCTTCCTGCGGCTGAGGACTGTGGGAGCTACGTGAGTGACTCACACCTCATCAACACACACCTGACCTGTTTTATGCACAAACAATGAAAACAAACGCAGTGTTATCTTCTATCAGCTACACATTATTTTTATCTGTGCACCGACTTGAGCAATGTTAGACCAGACCCGCAGTTGTAACACCTTGATCACCTTTTTTTTTTTCTTTCTTTCTCTGTTCTATCAGGGTGGAATTCACGGTTGGGAATCGGCCTCTAAACAACTTCCGCATGATTGAGAGGCACTACTTCCACGATCACCTGCTGAAGAGCTTTGACTTTGACTTTGGCTTCTGTATCCCAAACAGCCGAAATACCTGTGAACATATCTATGAGTTCCCTCAGTTGTCTGAAAGCCTTGGTGAGTCATCTTTTCAAAACCATTATAGAACCTAAAAATGCCCAAACTCCCAGTCATGATTGTATCAAGGTGTACTGCTTGTAGCTTGGAAGGCATTTTGATATGCTTTTGTCAAATAATGACTGTCAAGGGAAGGACCACTTGCATTTACACATTAGTGTGCCATGTGCATACCAAAAGAACAGATCAGCAGTTCTTACTAATGATGTTTCCTGAAAAGGCATCTTTGATTCCTTCTGAGTCATGTGTCAAAGTGGAGCAAAAGTAACATTACATAAAATATTTATCAAGGATGTGGTGAGATGATCATTTTCAAGCGAGGCAAACCACATCAGTAACAAAAATCTTTAAATCTCTTATGCCAGCCGCATGGCTTTTGCAGTTTTGTTCAACACAGTCTGAGTCACTGGATGCAGACTGCAGGTATAAGCCAGCCACTGGCTACATTTCACATGCTTTCTTCTCCTCTTCTGCTGTCTACATTTTACCGTTTTCAAAATCAGCTTTGCTACGGGCAACAACAACAACCTCCGAGCAGCAACCTACGTGCTGCAAATTTCAAGTTTTCACAAAAGTTTGGATCGTTCAATAAAACAGCCCTGCTATTTTTTTTTCTCTATGAATTATCCATTTTAATGGCAGTGCTTAACTACCTGTTTGCAAATGCTCCATCAAAACAATTCCCCCATCACTATTTTGAATAAACACCGTCGGTGCCTCCTGTTCTTAGCCCTGCCCAAGACGATTGTTTGAAGAAATACAAATAAGCCAGAGCATTTTTCCACTATAGTAGAATAATGATGAGGTGTAGCCGGACCATTCTACACACTGCTGTGTCAGCCCTAGAGAATGGTCGGCTGAGACTATGTTCAACCTGACACTTTATGCTGTTAGTTAGATAACTAGATAGATAAAAGTATCACACAAAATCTTGCATTTTTATGAGACAGTGTGTCATAATGTAGACGTGTGTCGTGAACACCAAAACTTTTGAACAACACCTGATACTTACACCACTGGCTGCCACTGTAACGTAGATTGTCTGAATATGTTTTGGAACACGTTGCAGCATAAATGTACATAGTAATGAGGGGGGAATCATGGAACTGCCATAATTTTTTCGATTTTTAAGCCACTATACTTACAATACTATACCTGCAAGTCTTCCAACTCTCTCTCACACTGGCCATGAAGAAATCCTTCCTAGTGCAGCAGCATTGTAAAAGTTGGGGGACAAAATTGACAGTTTAGTCACAGTCTGGTTCTGTGTAAAAATGTACTCTAAAGTTCTGCCAAAGCTAATGTGAGGCTTCAATAGTCTGAATTGGCCAAATCAAGTGATTATCTAAACCCTGACAGTCTGTGGAGGTTTCTTGCCAGGGTTTTGTCCAAGCAACAAATCTACATGTGATTACCACAAAGTGCTTATCGGTTGTGGCGCAAGAAACAAAATGAGGGAATTTTGTGGGGGAAAAAAAGACCTAAACTTTGGAAGATACTGAGTTTAATTTGGCTCCTCAGGCTAACTTAGACAAATCTTCTGCATATGTCACTGTACGTAATGCACATTTGAATACTGTATTAAGACAGACTTTGAAAAAATCGGAACCAGCAGAGCTTCCCAAACATTGGAACATTTCTATGGCTTAGTCAGTACTGACCCAATTTTTAAAAATTAGTTTTAGTTTTTTATACAATTCTAAACAATTGTAATTGCATGCATGTTAAAAAACCGTTGCTGGCCCACTGACATGCGTGTGTTGTGTGTTTTGCAGTCCGTCAGATGGTGGAGTGTCCTTATGAGACCCGGTCAGACAGCTTCTACTTCGTGGAGAACAGACTGGTCATGCACAACAAGGCAGACTATGCTTATAACGGAGGACAGTGATATCTACTTGCTCACATACAAACACACACACACACACAATCGCTCATTTATTGCTATACATATACACCCATTCACGCACACTGCTCAGCATACATGCAGCTCAAACACTCGTACATGCATAAACAGCGAGTTGTTTGTAAGGTTGAATTGCCATTAATTGTAATCATTTTCATGGGATGTATTTTATATTGCTGGAGGTTAATATCCGTCTCTGACATACAAATAGGAAGCAGCTGTGAGAAAGAGGCTCAAAATTGGTTATTTTATCTGTTTTTAGTGATTGACAGATCTCTTTAATACCAAAAGAGGGCTCATAGCTAGTGGCCATGTAACACGTGTCTCAAGCAGACCAAATGGCTGCTAGATAGATGGTTAGTCTCCTCTTTGCAAAGTGTCCTACCACCCATTCAGCACACACACACATTTGCACACAGACACACACGCTCAATCCCCAAGTGACACACATAGTGTTTACGCAGTGTTTGTCAGAAGCAGCTGTTCTCAGAGCTACCGCCTCCACAATCCACTCCAGACAATATCGGGGGAGAAAGAGAGAATCCATCTACAAAAACACTCCTGTCAAACACACATGGTCACTCCTGCAGCCCCCTCCCCACCTCCCTCTCCTCCCTCGCTTTCATACCCAAAGAAACACATTCACAATAGTACTGTATAAGAGTTTGATCCAAGGCCTCTGAGATCATTACTGTTTTGTTTTTTTTTGTTTTGTTTTTTTGTCTATTATTTGCTTTTACAGTTTTGTCTGGTTGATAGCGACGTGAATACGAATCAGGTAACAGCTAACTCTAATGTAATCATGACCCTCTGCTGCGCGCAAACGAAAGATGGCATTTAGTGACCAGTCAAAAAGATAACCCTCATAAGTTCAGAGAGGAGCAGAAGTCATCAGATATCATGATGCATGTGATGATATAAATGAAGAAAAGGGGATTTTTTTAAAGCAAATTATTGAAGATTCAGTGTGGAGAAAAAAAAGAAAAGTAAATGTATTTGGGCTCCTGTATTTTAAAGTGACATCACACATTTTTCTTTCCCATCCAGGTTTACTTAGCTGTGCTTTTGAATCCTTACCTCATGACGCACGTCTGATAACATCAGAATGAAGTTGGAATATGTCTGGAAATTGAGTGATCTTTCCTCTAGCTAGATAGTGTACCTCCTCTTTGTACTTTGTAAACTTTGGTGTTCAGGGTTAAGGTGATGTTTGTAAAATATATACATATACATATATATATATATATATAGTTTGTAAAAAAAAAAAAAAAGCGAAATGAGAAAATAAATGTACATTTTGAGATACAAAACATGTGACATTTTCTTCATTTCTCGGGATGAAACAGTTGAAGGAAGTTGAGTGGATTTTGGCATGAAGACAAAAAAATCCCACATGTGGCCACTAGGAGGAGTTCTACCATAACGAAGTTCTAAATGAATGCCACTGGCTCCCTGTAGTTTAGTTGATTCATGTTTTATTAGGGAAAAGGATCCCATCGATGTTTTTTATTATTGTGCGAGGACATGTTGACATTAATCTCTGGTATTTGCTTAAAACTCCAGAAGAGGTCGTGATCTGATGTCTTAATATCTGTCTGTGGCTACGATTTCACTGCTGAGGCGACATAACACTGATAAAATCGTTTTAATTCCATGTCATTATTCTCTCTACAGGCCACATGTGATAAGTTAGCATAGCACGCAATAGATTTTAAAAATTTGTTCAGGATTGTTACACTTTGATCATCCATTTTTGGAGTCTTGTGGGATTTAAATCAAATCTCTGGCTGTTTATTCTTTCTCAGGCTGTTTCTCCCTATCTCTGTGTTCATCTCTTGATCTCTCTCAGCCTCTCTACAGTTTCCGTCTCTCTTTCCAGCTCCCATGCCCAAAATCTCATGGTCTCCTTTTCTGTTTCTCTCTCCACACCTATGCAGCTCTCACTTGCTCGCTCTCTCGCCCTGTTTTTTCCCTTTTCTTTCCTACTCTCTCACCTGGTAACCAGACCTCTGGAGAGGAGTGTTGAGTTTCCACTTTCCCAGAGAAGAGGACAATCTGAGCCACACAGAAACCCACAATGGACCCCCTCTGCTCTCTCCTCCCTTCACTCTGTCATTGCACAGCTGCACACACAGAAGCACACACTGAGATATGTAAGAATACATACACAATCTGCTTTCTATTACCTTCTTTCCTCCTCATTTGATTTCTTTTAGTATTCTTTGTGTGGCGTTTTCCTTCATCTTTCCCCTGACTAAACTCTCTCACTGTAATTCCTGCTTTCGTTCTTTCTCCCCATACCACTCGGTGTTCTCACACATTCATGAATTCTTTGTCAAGCAGTATCAATTTTCACCTTCATCTGTTCCTTGACTACACTCTTAATATACCTTGTAAGATTACATCAGATTGGTGAGATAATAGACGCTTAGAAAGCTGCAGACGGCCTGCTGGGGTCTCCCATCATCTTTAAATATTATTGTGAATCTTTGTTTTTTCAGCTGTGGCAGTGAAGCTATTCAAGCAGGATGTGGTAAGAAGTTTTCGATTTCTAGACACTATGGAGCAGCAGAATTTTGGTGTAAACAGAACACTAACGTGGTGAAAAGTGTTAGAAGGTGTTCATTCTCTGTTTTTTTTCACCAACCCCTGAGAAAAGTATCTGGGTCTTAGGTTTCTAAATGTTTCAATATGCAGTGGTGGAAAATGACTAAATTTAGTCTGATACTGTACTTCAGTAGAATTTTGAGATACTCTGCATGTTTTTTTTTTTCCATTTTATGCTTCTTATGTTTCCCCTCCACTACTTTTATTTGATAGCTTTAGGTGCTAGTGACATAAAAGGTGAAGCGTTTACACAGTGGGTCATATAAAAAGGTTTTAAAAATACAACACAATTTTTAAAGATTTCTGAAGGTTTCCATTTTTTTTGACCGAGGACATCTTACAAAAAGGACTTCAGATATGTAAGAGCAGTTAACAGCTACTTATGGGATTGTTAAGTATTGAAATGCGTCGATATCGCACCAAAAATTAGCAAAAAATTAAGAGAAAACTGACAACAGATTTGTGCATCAGAACTTTTTCTTCTTTTCTCTCTCTCTACAATTATGCCGCAACTCCTCTAGATCTATCTGCTGCTTCTGTATATAAAACTATAAAACAACTCACATCAGTGCCACCTGCAGCAGCTGTAAGAGTAACATGCTGCTGAAACTCTGATTGTTCACTATTAATGATCTAATATTGGCACATATAATAATATATAAGTCAGACAAACCAAACCAGTGCTTTCACTTTAATACTTTCATCACATTTTGCTGCTAATATTCATCTACTTTTACACAAGGAGGATTTTTCATGCCTTTAATGGAGCAGATTTCCACTGCTGTCGTGGCAAAAGATTTGATTACGTCTTCTACCGCCGACACTATGATAACCTGCAAGTATCTAACTTCAGCTTGAAAGAGCAGCGAAAGCAGTGGCCACGGGCTATAAAAGCAAAACACCGAGCTCAAAGACAATGAAACGCATTGAACTGTGTCATCACTATTTACTCTCTTTGTTTACAACAAATAACTTGATCCACTGTTTATCAGCATAAAAATATTGGTAAACACAGCTTTTATGGTAAATTTAGCAATGCAATAAACGTACAATTCAAAGTGCAGTACAGTTTTTGAAGAGTTTAAAGGAGATATTTCATGTATTTTCCAAAAGATGTTCAGTGACACAGCTAAACTAAGTTAATCCCATAATTCATCAGGAAAACCTTCAAACAAAACCTGCAGGTTCAAACGACATCAAAGACTTCACCCAACTTACAATCGTTTCCCCCTAAAACTAAAGTATTCCTTTAAATTGGTGCGAGTCACAAATGGTGAATGGTGTCATAAATCAATAAGCACAGCCTTCCATCAGGCTGTAGGGCCCGCACGCTGCAGCACACGAGCGTAGCAACTGTGTCGTACCAAACCATGTGTTGGTAAAACAAGAAAATCTCGATATATCCAGTTGGACTCTTTGCAATTAACATATGTGCCCATGCAGACACGCTCACAGTAATAAATACACACTCTTTCCAGGGATGATTTGTGCGTTCTCAGGCCTTCGCGGAATATATTTCAACAGTCAGTCGTGGATCGACACACACACACACGCACCGGAAACAACTGGACAGGTAGGATAAATCAAGCTCATTCACCCCTCCCCCCTTCACACACACACACACACACACACACACACGTATATCTTTGTAACTGGCTTCCCCATATATCCTGTTCGGTGAATCACACCACATTGAGATTAGGAGTGAGAAGCACTGGTTTATTGAGGTTCCCCTGAAACACGCTCACACATCTAGACCTACACACAGTCAGGGGGACGGTAGAGGGGAGGTGGTGGGGGGACAGTGGTCTCCTATAAATAGCAGCTAGGAATGGCGTTGATAGGTCCTGTGAAAAGAAATGGAGGGGGGGAGTGGAAAAAGGATTAAAAGAGATACAGGGACACACTGCAACTCCACTTGTTCGTGTGTGTGTGTGTGTCTGGAAGGTACTTTGAAGGCAGGTTGTATGGATTTCTCTCTTGATTCCCCCCAAAATAAAACCCCCTCCACCCACTCCTCCATTCTCTCTCTTACACACAGACTTTTTTTTTCTTCTCATTCTCACTCTTCCTTTCTTTTTTTTTCTTCCCCCCCACCCCTCCTCGTCTTTCTCCCGTCCTGCTCCGCGGCCCTGGTGTGAAACCCATCATGTGTTAACACTACATTACCCGCACAGAAGTGATGAGTCACCGCACAGTCGTCTCTTGTAAGTCAGCGCCACGATGGTCTCGGAGATGGTCGTGACTCCATCTGTATGTGTCATTATGTCATTTCCAGCTATTGCTCCGTGACATCATCTGTGCCCTGAGGAAGAGGTCAGGGCAGACATGAAGTACTGTAAACATGATAAAACATCATTTTATAAGTTAAAAAAAACAACTGATTGTCACAGCTACAGCGTCAACTAAGAAAAAAAAGAGGTTCTACATGTGTCACTTTTGAATAAACTTTTCATTTCAAACTGAGCAGACACTGTAATTTAATGTCATGCCTAGCAAAGCCGCGTAGATGTGACAAGAGATAACAGATAATTACTTATTTGTGAGTTAATAATGCACTCAGTACGGCGGTGATGGATAGACGGGCCTTTAACAAACTGTGATTCCCATACCAATTTCCATGGTGGCGAGCGCAGTATTGACAATCTGTCTTTAAGTGTTAGGTCTCTGCTGATTTGTAACCAGAAGCCTTTGTGCAGCTTCTGTGTTGTGTGTGTGTGTGTGTGTGTGTGTGAGTGTTGTTCCTGCATTCGTCCGCCCAGCAGTCTGTGTGGTATTACGGCACAGATTTCCGTCACACAGAAATAGTCGTGTGTCATCAAGGTAAACAGGCTTGCGGTGTGTTTGCGCTCACAGGAAGCCCACAGCCACCTTTGGAAGCTTCTCAGAGCTCTCAAGTCCAGTTTGTTTTGTGTGCGCACGATTAATAAAAGGTTAACTCAACCCTCAGTCAACTGTTGAAGAGGCATGAAAATCTCCCCCGCAATCTCTTCCTTCCTCTGCCTTTCTCTCCTCCCTTTGTCTCTCTCCCTTTGCCACACCTTCCCCTGGGGGATGCAGGGATTGTGATTGGAGAATGGAGGTGGGGCTCCTGGCACAGTCACAGGTGTGCTTGTTTCCTCCCTTCTCCTCTCTCATGTAATGATTTCTTCAGCCCCGCCACCTGCCAGGTGGGAAAAACACCCACAGCAAATGGAGCGCTTTAAAATGCCCTCCTGGCTTCCGCTTTAAAGGAGCTGCTTGTTCAAACATTCCATTTTTTTTATCCTTTTTTTTTTTTTTTCCCATTATCCATTGACTGCGTTTGATTCAATGGAGTCTTCCTGGAACAACTTGTTGCTTGTTTACATTTTGCATCGCATTCAAATGATGGCTTCTGGCTCTAAAAACTGTTGCTGCGGCTGAAGAGCCAATAGAGACACTTTTTCAGATGATCAGAAGTTGGCTTTCAGACTCTTTTTTTTTTCTTCTTCTCTTCCCCCCTCTCAGCTCTCTTTCAAACTGCCTCGAGGGTGGTAGGGAGCAGGTCCCAGGCCCTGACAGGTCAGAGGTCGCTCCCGGACAAAAGCTTCCCACTCTGGGTCAGCTGTGGTCAAGGAAACAAAAAGCGACCAAGACCTGGAGTGGACAAACTGCTGCAGTGTCTTAAGGTGGCAGCAACACAGAGAGATGGAAACAGGGTAGAGAGAGTGAAGGCACAAATGAGAAGTGCAATGAGTGCACAGAAAACCTTTCTCACATACTGACCCGCCCACCCACACACACACACACACAAGCACACACACAAGTTGTGTAAATTTTGCTTTCACACATACTTTACAAGATTTTCAAATCTGCCAAAACCATTGCTTTAAGCTTACAAAACGAGTCAAACTTTTTTTTTTCAACCTGCAAAAAAGAAGAAAATCTCTGTTTCTCACCAATCCACTTCACGTCTTATATTTGTTGGGTTTTAATTAATAATCTAATAATGCCACCTAAGTTTGCTGTAATCTATCCATATCATTTCGTGTTGCTCCAACTTGTTCCTCCCCCTCCCCCATCCTGCTGTCTTTTCTCCTCTCTTTTTTTTTATTCAGTGCCATTGATCATGCATGCAGAAATTCAGCACGCCCAACCATGGCTCCAGCCAGGATAGGTTAGCTAGAGCAAGGCCCTGTCCTACATACTGTTCTCTCTCTCGCTATGGTCCACCAGGCCACAGTCACACCCTCCCCCTGACCTGCCTCTGCTCACTGACTTCCACAACTGCCAAACACACAAACACCCTGCGGCCCATCGCACAACCAGCCCATGCACAGATCATCATGTGCTGCTGGGAACTTCAGCTCATCACGGCTGATCACTTTTAGTAAGGTGCAGACAGAACTTTTTTCACTCTCTCTTGCTACGTACATATAAGAGGTGGTGTGATTTTATTACACTGTTCAGATTTACAGAAGATTGATTGAACTCAGCTGGATTTGTTTTATCTATTCCCCCCCAAAAAATGCACCCAAAAACAACATGAATTATGCTGTTAGCTTTCCTTGTATCTCATGAGTTTGGCAAGTGCATTTCACACAACTTTGTGAGCGCTTCACTTGTTTCATTTTTGCAGCATGATGAAGCTGCTCAGCTGACCAGGCTCGCCCCGGCCAAGAGAATGGTTGACTTAGAGGTAAAGCTGCTAATCTGCCACTTAGCTGGTTAGGACGGCCCGTCACATGGGGAGAACAGAGAAGGGGACTGGGTAAGATCAGGTTTGAACTGTGGCTGGGTAATTGGATGAAGGATATACAGGGGTGATCACAGCTGTTTTAGATGAGATGGATCAGGATAGAAGCTGGGCAGAAGGAACAGGTGGGCTGAGGGTTGACTCAGGCACGAATAATTGGTGGATGGGGCGTAAAGGGGTTGTTGCATGATGTTTTGAAAGACACTTCACAAACCGAACCACAAAACAGCCTCATATAATATCACATTACATCATATTAGGTCACTGATGACTCAGATCATGCCATATATATAAAATCAAATCACATTACATCTTGTCATCCCACTAATAGAGGAAGGAATCTTTCTGTGTGTCTTTTCTTTTTGTATCTCACAAACTGTACATCCGACTCACTTTAAATATAGCAGGTGTATCGCTGCAGACCTGGAAAAGTGCAGTGCAGAGTTTAATATAGATGGATGAGCGGTGGCTGTTTTGGGGGTCCTCAGTTGGCCTTTGGCTGCCTGCGGACGCAGCCTAAGTCGCCCCTGTTGCTTAGCAACCCCGACAAAGGCACATGTATGATGTCACGCGAAGACTGGCATCACATGCAGCCGCACAGATGACGTCACACTTCAGGTCTGTGAGGTCACAGAAGACATCCGAGTGGGCACGAGGTCTCACTGTACTGGACATGGTAGGCCTCTGGTACAAGTTTAGGCGACATCATGTGCATCAAAACACATTTAGTCGAATAAGATCAAAGTATGGCTCACATCATTGAGAAATCAAATCCTGCAACAGCACAGACAGAAAACAGAATTTCACTGACATGTGCAATCTGAAAACACGAGAGTGACTTCACAGCCAGCCGGCTGCCCTCACACAGTGTTGGGAGAAAGTATTCTGGTTACAGATGCCTCATTTCACCTGAGGCCGAACGTGGCACTACAGGATGACATCGTTTTCCATCATGTCGTCCTCCAGTCCAAAACCGGCTCATACATTTCAAGTGGAAGGACTAGCAATGAGGGCCAAGGTCTGGGGAAAAAAATATTTTAAAAAACTTATGCATATGTGATGGATTTTTTTTTTATTCCTGTCTGATTTCAGGTCTCCTTATTTATTTATTTTTTTTTTATTTATTTTTTAATTCTCTTCTTGTTGTGATGAAGCTGAACAGAGAAAGGCTTCTGTAGATCTCAAAATCATTCAATATGCTTTAATGGGCCATGCTGTTGAGATCAGCCAATGACAAGAACGGCGGGGAAACACTACAGAGAGAGAGAGAGAGAGAGAGAGAGAGAGAGAGAGAGAGAGAG